AAAATCTCCTTGTTCTGACATTCTGTGTTCTAAGGTCCTTCTCCATTCTCACATTCTGTGTTCTAAGGCTCTTCCCAGCTGTGACAGTCTATGTTCTCACATTCTGTATTCTAAGTCAGGGATTCTTAACTTTTTTTTATGATGTAGGGCCCTTTGGCAATCTGGTGAAGCCTATAGACCCCTTCTCAGAATAACATTTTTGAAGTCATAAAATAAAATCCATAGGATTACAAAGGAAGTCAATTCTATTGAAATAGTCCTTAAGATATTTTTAAAAAAACAAAGTCATAGGCTCCAGGTTAGGAACTCCCATTCTAAACTTCCTTCTAGCTCTAAATCCTATTCTGACAGTTTATTTCCTTCCCATGTGGTTACGCTAGGAAAAAAGAACAGGGAGATTTGTTCAGAACTGGGGGAGTTGCTGAAGACAGAGGACCTATGCCCCGGGAAGCTCTGGTTTCTTTCCAGAGAAACAGGGAGGACTGAGGGAAGACCCAGGCTGGCTGATAGGGCCAGAGCCTCCCTCGCCCCTGCAGTGTGTGGTCCCATTCCTGAGAGGCCCTTGAGCAAACACCAGCCAGCGGCTTTGTCACCCGCTGAATGGGGAAGTCAGCCCCAAATTAGCAGTAATATGAGGGCGTTTAACCCTCTCATGAGGCCCTTGAGAAATTACAATAGAACTTTCAAGGGATGGGCGGCCTCCCCAAATAGGTCTGACTCACAGCTGGGACCTGCTTGCCCAAGGACTGAAGAAATGCCCATCCTTAGGGAACAGGAGGCGGGAAGCTTCCCTCTTCGAACCTTGCTGCCTGGATGGAGACCTAATAGGGCCTCTGGCTGACATGCTCTTAGGCCCTTCCACAGCCTCTTCACACACACACACACACACACACACACACACACACACACACACATATGACATGGAAGGCTTCCAGGGCCCTGTTGTGTAGGTAGGGAACAGGAGACGGAGAGATGGGAGGGACTAACTCCTGGCCACAAGATAACACAATGAGGAAGATTCTGTGCTTCTACGGAAGTCTCAGCTCTCTAATTCTGGATCCTCAAGTCCCTCCCAGCTCTGACATTAGGAGTTCTAAGGCTCCTCACATCCCTGATATTCTGTATTGTAAGGGCCCTCCCAGCCCTGACATTCCGTGTTCTGAGGCTCTTCCCATTCCTGATACTCTATGTTCTGAGGACCCTCGTAACTCCAGCATTCCATGTTCAAAGGTTCCTCCTTCCTCTCGTCATCTCTGTTCTAAGGGAGCTTCCAGCTCTGACTTTCTATGATCTCAAGCATCTTGCATCTATCAACTCTGTATGGAGGAAGGTCCAGCAGAATAATTCCTCTTTGGGTCCAGCCCCCAACTCCACCTTCCAAGCCTCTCCTCTCAATATCTTTCACCTCTGCCTATCTTCCTGGTGCCTTTTCTCAATCTCAGGGAATGATGTGATAAATTATTTGTCTAAGGATTGACTTTAGTGGCTTATGGTATTACCACCTCCATAAGGATCTGAAGTTAACAGACAACTTTTTAAGACTCAAAAGAATGAATCCTTAATGGTAGAAATTTCAGGGGATGAAAGAGTGGCAGAGCACAGGGAAATTGTTTTAGAGGCTGGGTTGCAAGTGACCACCTAAGACAACTCCAAGCAGGGACAGCCAAGGCTGTAAGGTGTTATCATATCAAGGTAGATTTGACCAGATCTTAGGGGTTTAATAACTCATCTCATACAGACTAATTGGCCACATTTCTGTAGAGTTTCTTGTTCTTCATTTTCTTCTGAATAAACCTATAATGTAGACAGTGCAGTAGACTCTAGATTTTACAGACATGGATACTCAGAGAGACATTCTGATTTATAACATTATAAGACTTGGAGCAGAAAACGTATCTCAGAAATAATCTAATCCAACCCCTTCATTTTAGCCAATGAAGAAGTTCAGGTTGGGGCTTTCCCAAGGCCACATAGCTCATAGTAGAAACCGTAGAAATGGCTCGGTGGGATCTTGGTTTCAGATCTTGAGCAGAAGGGGGTAGATGTTTCTGGTTTCTGTTCTGATTCTCCATATTGGTCTGACTTAGAGGAAAAGGCTATACAGCACTTGTGACATGTCCTCCCCCCACCACTTCATTTGCTTCATTCTTCCTTCTTCTGCCCACCAATGCACAGCTCCATCCAACCCTAGGGAGTAGTGGAAATGATCCTATCTCAGCTTCAGGACATTGGGTGTCATTATTTTGTTGTTGTTGAATCATTTCAGTTGTGTCTGACTCTCCATGATCCCATTTAGGGTTTACTTGGCAGAGATACTGGAGTGGTTTGCCATTTCCTTCTCCAACTCATTTTACAGATGAGAAAACTGAGGCAAATAGGGTTGAGTGACTTGCCCAGGGTCACACAGCTAGCAAGAGTCTGAGACCAGATTTGAATTGGAAGATGAGTCTCCCTGACCCTGGGCCCAGTGCTGTATCCACTGCACCACCTAGCAGCCCAGGCATAGTTATGGGTTTGTGGAAATTTGGAAAATGATGAGTAATGCTTTCTATTTCATGGTGAAGGAGAAATAAGGGGTGGACATAGAGTCAGAAAGGCTGGATTTCAGTCTTGGTTTAATCATTTACTGAGGAATCTTGAGAAAGTCACTTTAACCTCTCTGTGCCTCAGTTTTCCTATCTATTAAATAGGAATAACACTGCCTATATCACAGGGCTGTTGTGAGGAAAGTGATCTAGTGTTATATGAAATTTTTAGTATTATTATCATCATTATCATAATTACTAATTTTATCATTTGCCTACAAGGAATTTGCTAAGGTTCTCCCAGCAGCACATGGGAGAGGCATTCACTCAGAGCAATCTTGACAGGACAATAGGAAATAGAGGCTGTGTCTACACAGCCCCAAACTCTTCCACTTACCAGCTTTTCCACTTTGGGGCAAGTCATTAGATCCCCGTGACTCTAATCCAGTGCTTCTTAAACTGTGGGTCAGGGTCAAATAACTGAATAAGAGGGGTGTGAAAATTTTGGCAACAGTAAAATGTTTCTGATTGCACAACAACCAAAAATTAATTCAAAATTATTGGAGATGCTTCTTACAGTGCTTGCCCATGATGCATTTTGCAACTTCACTTACGCCTTGGTTCTGAACACAAAGCATGTGCATGTGTATACACACATGCACAAAATGTGTGTACACCGTCACGCCATGCGATGCCGACAAATGCAACCAGAAACACCTCGGCTCAGATGCGAGACTATTTTGTTATGAATTGCAGTGTCTTTACTGTACACACAAAATTGCTAAATGAATTTTGGTTTGGGATTAGGACAGAATTTCCAACAATTTCTGAAATGGCCCTAAACATACTTCTGCCATTTTGTACTGAGTACTTGAAAGCGCGTTCTCAGCACTGACAATTATAATATCAAAATATTGATCAGCTCTGAAAAACATTGAAGATGTTCTGCACCCTGCAGTATCAAATATTCCACCAAGATTTAATTCTTTATGTCAAAATAAACAAGCATATCCATCTCATTAGTATGCAAATTTACTTTCATCTTTAACAAATGGTAAAGTTTTATGTATACCAAAGAATTGTTTTAAAATAAATTTTTTTTATGATTTATTATCAGTAAATGTTTGATTTGCATACCTGTTTTATATACCTATATACCTGGGGTCATGTGAAAATTTCTCTGGCAAAAAGGATCCCTAGTGGAAAAAGTTTAAGAAGCCCTGCTCCTGACCTTTCCAGATGTTAGATGAAGCAGCTAGATGGCACAGTGGATAAAGCGCTGGACCTGGAGTCAGAAGTCCTGAGTTCAACTCCAGCCTCAGACACTTACTAGCTGTGTGACCTTGGGCAAGTCACTTAACCTCTATTTGCCTCAGCTTCCTCAGCTGAGGACCTACCAGAGTCGCTGGAAGGATGAAATGAGATATTTGTAAAGCACTTAGCAGTCTGTCCGGCACACAGTAGGTGCTATATAAGTGCTAACAATGATCAGATGATGCTGTTAGTGCTTTCCCTCCAAGGCAAAATTGTTTTGTGTTTATTTTGTATATAAATAGGTTTTTAGTAAGCTCCTAAAGCTTAAAATAGCACTGAAAATTCTGGGACACCCTGTCTCTTACACTTACTTTTCTGGGCACATTTATCCCACAGAGTCGTGTGTGTCCCTAGAGAGCTCTGTTTCATAATTTGTCTTCTGTTTCCTCAGTAGGAGAGGCAGCGGGTCCTATAGCCTGTGGGCCCATTTGGAGTGCAGAGAATCGAGGTTCAGGTCCCACCCTCAACACACATGCTGAATGTGTGGCCGTGGGCAAGTCACTTAGTCTTTCAATGACACTGTCCAGGGCTCCGGATTGCAGAGATGTTACTGCAGGAAGGTGGGAGCGTGACTTGTCTTACCACAAGTTCCCACAGACCTAGAACCACTTCCAAAATGGAGGGGTACCAAGCACAGAGAGTGGTACATAGTAGGTGCTTCATAAATGCTTGTTGCAGGTTCCATCTAGGTGGCTCCACCCACCGGGAGATTTGGAAACCTCCAGGTGACTGATGGTGGTTTTCTCATGTTCACTCGAACCCTCTCAGATGCCTCCTCAGGGTTTATCGGTAAGGTTGGCTTCATCCAAATGTTGACAGCTAGAAAGCCCTACAGTGTGGGCCCAGCAGCAGGGCCCTATTGTCTGAGGAGCAATCTAGCTAACTTTAGAGAAGTTCACAACCTGGTTGACCAAAGGGCAATGGAATTGGGGGAAGGGATGGAGTGGTAATAGTAACTTGCTTTAAATTTTTATTGATATATTTTGTTTTTAACATCACCTTCATCGCTGAATAGATCCCTCTTCCCCACCCCCACCCCCACCCAGGAACGCTATCTCTTCTAACAAGGGAGAATGTGGGGAGGGGGAGGGGAAACCATTTCAGTAACTGACCAATGCCCCAGCTGAGTTTGACAGTATGTGCAATATTCCATACCCATAGGCTCCCACTGCACATGCTGAGTCACACAAGGCCTGGGCTTTTCATCTGTGGAGACAGCACTGACATCAAGGAAATCCTGGATCCATGATGTATGAAAGCGGGCTGGGAGCTGGTGTCCCACCAGATTGAAGAACCTGCGTGTGCAGGGGAAGGAGGGCCTGGTGTGCTTAAGTGTCAGAGCCCATAGGAGGCAGCATAAGCTTCCATGGAAAGAGTCCCAGATTCATCCTTCTAGCTCTCCCCTCAAAATGGCTAGATAATCTTGGCCAAGACACTTAATCCCCAGTCCTCTCCCTGTTAGATCCAAAATAAAAGAAACATATTGTAGAATGATGTTAGAGCCGAGAATGTCAGAGATGGGAGGGGCCTTAGAATACAGAAGAACGTGGAGCACAAAATACCAGGAAAGGATGGCTTAGAACATAAAATGTCAAAGGTGAGACTGTGTTTAGAACTGAACATCAGAGCTGGGAGGGCCCTTAGAACATAGTAATATGTTTAGTTTAGCACTTTAAGGCTTTATGAAGTCCTTTCCCTTCCCAACAAACTGGTGAGATAGGCAGCACTTGTCACTATGTTTAAACTCTCAGGGCTCAGGGGCTAAGTGATTTATCTGAGGGTAACACAATGAATAAATATCAAATCTGGAATTCACACCCAGGCCTCCTGATTTCTTGAACTTCTCGTGTATATCATTGTATGTATTTGATATTGCTATCTGTTTCTATTTGGTATCCATTCTCCCCACCCTGCACCCCATCTTACACTCCATCCTACCCCCACCACCTTGAACCTAGAGGCAGGAAGACATAAGCTGAGATTCAGCCTCAAGACGTTTACTAGGGTCTATGAGATAAGAGTAAGAATAATGCCTGACTCCCAGGATTTTTATGAGGATAGACTGAGGAATTAGTAAAGTGCTTGACAAACTTTAATAATGTGTGTAGTATACACACACACACACACACACACACACACACACACACACACACACACACATACACACACATGTTTTTATTATTAGAATGTAAACTCCAAGAGGGCAAGGACTATTTCTTTTTTATCTTTGTATTTCCAGGACCTAGAACAGTATCTGGCAAACACTGGGTGCCCAATAGTTGCTTGTTGAATTGAATGGAATTGCTACATGATGAATGCCTGGGAGTGGAAGATGAGCCACAGGGAGAGGGAAAGGGAGGAGCTGGGGATGTGCTCAGTCAGAGCCACACAGGAAAACAACTTTCTGAGCTCTGCTCTTCCTTGTAACCCCATTTTCTCTCTGACCCACACCAGCATCATTCTAGTTTGAGAGTGACGGGCAGATGACAGGCTCCCCTAAACTTAGTCACATTTTTCCTTGTGGGAGGCAGGAAACAACAGCACTGTTGTGATTGAGAAACTCCCAGTCCTCAGTCAGAGTTCCATTGCCCCTGGAGAGGTGACTGAGCTTCCATTCCTGGAGGAGAGCTGGCTGGCGCCAAGCCCGGCAGGTGATTTGTCCTGTAGCATATGTCTCCCCAGGGGGAACTCCCTGAGAGTAGAGTGATTCTAGCAGGGATCCTTTTCCTCACATCCCCTGCCCTCTGCTCCTCTCCCTTCCCTTCCCTTCTTCATATCCTTCCATTCCCATCCTCTCTTCTTCCCTTCCCTTCCCCATCTCCATCCCCTTCCCTTCTTCATCCCCTTCCCTTCCCTTTACCATCCCCTTCCCTTCCCTTCCCTTCCCTTCCCTTCCCTTCCCTTCCCTTCCCTTCCCTCCCTTCCCTTCCCTTCCCTTCCTTCCCTTCCTTCCCTTTACCACCTTCCCTTCCCTTCCCTTCCCTTCCCTTCCCTTCCTTCCTTCCCTTCCTTCCCTTCCCTTCCCTTCCCTTCCCTTCCCTTCCCTTCCCTTCCCTTCCCTTCCCTTCCCTTCCCTTCCCTTCCCTTCCTTAGGATTGCCTTCTTCCCTAGTTGATCTGTAGCCTGCCTGCAGGCAGGAGTTTCACCCAGAGAGTTTCACAGAATTTCACAAACTCTAAGAGTCAGAAGGGGCTCCAGGGCCCCTCTGAGTCCAACACATACCTGAGCAGAAATCCTCTTTGCCACATCCTGAGCAAGCAGCCACCCTGCACCTGCTCTGAAGCCCTGGAGAGCAGAGGGAGGAGGGGGCAGAGGGCAGGAGGAGCAGCACTGGCCGCAAGGTCTCCAGGCCTGGGTTGTCATCCTGGCGCTGACCCTCATCCCCTATGTGAGGTAGAAAGTGACCTCCACGAACCTGAGCGTGCTTGTTTATGAACTGAGGGCGATGGAAGAAGCTTTTTGTGTTGTGGTCCCCTTTGTCAGTCACGGGGAAGCCTATGGACTTCTCAGAACAATGCTTTTAATATATAAAACAAAATATGGGGGTTAGAAAGGGAATCAATTATATTGAATTACAGTCACAGACACAGACATACATATACTAGAACTCAAACATATCCACCCATATCCATATATGCACAGGTGTGTGTATATGTATAAATATGTATGTATGTATACACACACACACGCACACACACACACACACACACACACACACACACACACACACATATAGAGCTTTCAGCTCTAAAATTTTAGCTTCTGAGGTACCTTCCAGATCTGGCATTCTGTATTCTAAGAGCCTCCTAAATCTGATATTCTGTTTCTAAGGGCCCTCCCCTGCTCTGACATTCTACATGCTAAGACCAAAGCAGTCTATTCCACCTATGTTGAGAGTCAGCTAGGCTGGACACTGATATAAACATTTGTTAAGTACATCTGAACTCATTTTCCTGGATAGAAAGCATGGGGGTGGGGGTGGGGAGAGTCTATCCAGGGAACAAATGTGCCAGAGTCATTCCCATGACCAGACAGGGAGCTCTTATAGCCACTGCCTTCATAATCTGGGCAGGCTTTGCGTCAAGGGGGTCTTTATAGGCACAAACACTTTTGGTGTCTACTCAGGAAGAATTAGAATGAAGTGGGGTGCCCTGGTGGATCGACTAGAGGATAGAACTTGAAGTCAGAAACCCTGGATTTGAGTCCTGGCTGTGCATGGCTAGGAGTTACTAGCTATGTGGTGAGTTACATTCCCTCTCTATGACTCAGTTTCCTTATTTGTAAAATGAGTAGGAGGGGATGATAATACTAGCGTTTTAGGTCCACAAGTTTTATGAGAGAAATATTTTGTAAACTATAAAATACTAAATAGAGTCATGACCAAAGAAACTTTTGGGCACATCTTTCCTAAGCATTAATCCTATCTATAATATCATCTGCTTTGTGATGCACTATTAAAAATCTGGGGTTCAAAGTCAGAAGACCTGAGCTCAAATCCTACCCCTTACTAGTGTTATGACCTTGAGTAAGTCCATTGACTTTTCTTTTGGCAATCAATTGAAGATCAATGTAGCCCAATGGTTTTAAACACTGACTCTGTCATTCACTGACTATATGACCTTGGGTAAGTCACTTTGCCTGAGGGCCCTCAGTTCCCTGATCAGTAAAATGAGGGGACTAAGGCTGATGGTTTCTAAGGTCTCTTGCAGTTCTTAGATGCACAGATCTATGAATCATCACCTTTGAGATGAAGGGACTGGAATAGATCACCTCCAGCGTCCCTTCCAGTTCCTGAATGTTCTTTAGCCAATGGCCACCCAACTCCTGTGCACACTTCCAACGTTAGCAAGCTCACCATCTCCTAAAGCAGTGGGTTCCATTTTTGGACAGCTCTGAGAGTTAGGAAATTCTCCCTTATATCACTCAATCAGCACTTATTAAGCCCCTACTGTATGTTAGGCCTGGGGTTACAAAAACAGAATGGAGACAATCCCTGCCCTCAAGTGACTTACATTCTAAGAGCATCCAGCATACACAGGATCAACATAAGATAAACAAATGTTATTTTGTATGGCACTGTCAGGTGGGAGGAGAGGACTAATATCAGAGGAATCAGGAAAGCCAAAATCTGCCTTTACAACTTCTACCCGGATCCTAGTTCTCCCATCATGCATACAAATGTGAGTTATTAGTACTATAGCTATTTCGTTATCTCTTCTACTAGACTGTAAGCTCCTGGAGGACAGGGATGACATCCAATTTCATCTTCACATTCTCATCTCAGCAGGGACCACTGGCCCATGTGGGCATTTAATAGTTGAGAGACCATGGGCAAATCACTGGACTAATCTGAGCCTCAATTTACTCATCTATACAATGGGGATAATAGTACTTTGACTACATTTCTGATAGGGCTGCTGTGAGGAAGGTATTTTGTAAGCCTGGAAGTGCTATAGAAGTGTGAATAATAATTATTAACAAGTCATTATTATTGTTAGCACAAACACGTTCAAGAAATGTTGTTTAATCAGTGTATTATTTATTTCTCCCTCCAGGCCCTGTCTTTACTTAGTTTGAAAGGAGTTTTTTGTTTCTTTGTGTAGAACCCTAAATTGGAAGTCAAAAGACTCAGATTTTTATCCTGGCTTTGGTACTTACTAGCTATGATCTGGGGCAAATCCCTTTATCTCTATGAGCCTCAGTTTCCTCCTTTAAAATGAAGGAGTTATTCTAGCTGAAGTCTGAGGCTCCTTCCTAAATCCTATGAGCCTATGATCTCTCTGGGCCTCAGTTTTCTCATCTGTAAAATAAAGAGTAGGGCTAGACGATGTCTAATGTCCCGTCCATCTCTAATTCCCACGATACCATGATTATTCAAAGGCTTGTGGGTTTACCATCAGTGCTCTGCAAACTGGTTCTCTGAGCCTCAACACTTCTCAGATACATTGTTGTTGTTTGCCCTTTGTTCTTGAAGAGGATGATGACATCAGAAGGTGATGCCATGACGTGCAAGTGAATTGGATTTAAGTGAGAGAAGACTGTGCAAAGCCACCAGCCTCACTCTCTCCTCCAGAGTCCTCTGGGTCCAGTGGCCAGACATAGATCAGAATGACTAGAGGTGGCCCTGGATGCAGTGGAAGACCTTGGCCTTTTTAAGCTGAGTTCTTTTCCAGGTCTCGGTTTGACTGAGGCAATGCCCATTCAGTGATTAAGTCTAGGTAAGAAATAAAGCAAAGAATGGCCTCTTTTACCTAGTCCCCCCCCCCCCCCCCCCCGAAAAATCTATCTAGGAGGGGAAGATCTCAGAGTTTCTGGCCAAAACAGAAACAATTGCTATTTACTCTCACTCTGTGCCCAAACAATGACCAAGTGAGACTTGGCCTGGGACCTATTGTTGGCCAATCAATGAGAGCCAGAGTGATTTGGCGTTAAGGCACAGTCCTTAAGAAAGAAATCTAACTCATAAACCCCAAGATATCTTGCAAAGTTTTAGCAATCAAAATTTATATTCCTTTGGGCAGAGCACCCCCAGGTAAGGGTATGAATCCCTACGTGGATAGAGGGAGAGGAGGCAGGAGGAAGGAAGGAAGGAAGGAAGGAAGGAAGGAAGGAAGGAAGGAAGGAAGGAAGCAAAGAAGGAAGCAAAGAAGGAAGGAGGGAAGGAAGGAAGGAAGGAAGGCAGGAAGGAAGCAAAGAAGGAAGGAGGGAAGGAAGGAAGGAAGGAAGGAAGGAAGGAAGGAAGGAAGGAAGGAAGGCAGGAAGGCAGGAAGGAG